AGAAAGGTCAAGGTATTGAGTCTAGGTTAAAGGATGAGGTGGCTTTATCAATCTGTGTGCCATCAATGAAGGAGCAGAGCTTTGGACAAAGGTATCAACTCATTACGGTGCCATTCAGTTCCGTCTCTCAGTCACATCTGATTCTTTGAGACCTCATGGACTGCAGCACTCCAGGCTTCCCTATCCATCATCAGCTCCTGAAGCTTGCTCAAACTCATGTCCATTGAGTCGATGATGACATCCAACCATCTCATCCTCTGTCATCCCCTTCTCCTTCTGCCTTCAATCTTTCCCAGCATCAGGGTCTTTTCCAATGAGTCAGTTCTTCGTATCAGTTCAGTTCAGTTCAGTTCACGCTCAGTCGTGTCTGACTCTTTGCAATCCCATGAACCACAGCACGCCAGGCCTCCCTGTCTATCACCAACTCCCGGAGTCTACCCAAACCCATGTCCATCGAGTCGGTGATGCCATCCTGCCATCTCATGTTCTGTTGTCCCCTTCTTATCCTGACCCCAATCCTTCCCAGCATCAGGGTCTTTTCCAATGAGTCAGCTGTCCACATCAGGTGGCCAAAGTATTGGAGTTTCAGCTTCAACATCAGTCCTTCCAATGAACACCCAGGACTGATCTCCTTTGGGATGGACTGGTTGGATCTCCTTGCAGTCCAAGGGACTCTCAAGAGTCTTCTCCAACACCACAGTTCAAAAGCATCAGTTTTTCGGCACTCAGCTTTCTTCACCATCCAACTCTCACATCCATATGTGACTATTGGAAAAACCATAGCCTTGACTAGACGGACCTTTATTGGCAAAGTAATGTCTCTGCTTTCAAATATGCTATCTAGGTTGGTCATAACTTTTCTTAGAAGGAGCAAGCGTCTTTTAATTTCATGGCTGCAGTCACCATCTGCAGTGATTTTGGAGCCCCCCCAAAATAAAGTCTGACACTGTTTCCATGGTTTCCCTATCTATTTTGCCATGAAGTGATGGGACCAGATGCCATGATCTTAGTTTTCTGTATGTTGAGCTTTAAGCCAACTTTTTCACTCTCCTCCTTCACTTTCATCAAGAGGCTTTTTAGTTCCTCTTCACTTTCTGCCATAAGGGTGGTGTTGTCTGCATATCTGAGGTTATTGATATTTCTCCCAGCAATCTTGATTCCAGCTTGTGCTTCTTCCAGCCCAGAGTTTCTCGTGATGTACTCTGCATATAAGTTAAATAAGCAGGGTGACAATATACAGCCTTGACATACTCCTTTTCCTATTTGGAACCAGTCTGTTGTTCCATGACCAGTTCTAACTGTTGCTTCCTGACCTGCATACAGTTTTCTCTCCTCGTATCAGGGGGCCAAAATATTGGAGTTTCAGCTTCAGCATCAGTCCTTCCAATGAATATTCAGGACTGATTTCCTTTAGGTTTGACTGGTTTGATCAAACACTGCCATTATCATACCAATAATCTCAAAATATTTTTCTAAAGAAACAACAAAATCTAAAAGCAGAAATAACTTTTAGAGTATGCTTTTCATGCTTGCAACATTTCTGAAAAAAACTACCAACAAATATATATCCATATAAAAATATACAGATATATTCACAAATAAGTATTTTATATAGTAACTGTTAGTTGCTCAGTCATGTCCGACTCTTTGCGACCACATGTACTATAGCCCTGCCAGGCTCTTCTGTCCATGGGATTCTTTAGGCAAGAATACTGGAGTGGGTTGCCATTTCCCTCTTCATTATATAATAAATGCGAATGTAATTAGCCATGAGAAATAACATGAATATTGTAAAAATTTTGAGGAGTGATACAAAATTTTGCCACTGAGCAAAAATTAAATATCAGACCCTAAAGCATTTATCGAGGACTAAGGTAATGTGTAATAGAAGTGAAAGCGTTTGACTACAGAGTCAAGAAAAGTCCAGTTTGGGGCAGGTTACCTTTTTAAGCTTTAAGTTCCTTATTTGGAAAATGCAGATAATGGTACAGCCTCCCTCAGTGGATTGTTTTGAGAATTAAATGAGAAGATGAGTAGTGTGTTGGGTTTGACAGCTTATGGTGAATAATGTCAGATTCATGATCTCCGAAGAAGATTTAGTTTCGGAGCCGGGGACTAGGCTTGATCACTCAAGAGCTTTTGTATAGCAGAGTTTTATTAAAGTATAAAAAGGGACAGAGAAAGCTTCTGACATAGACGTCAGAAGGGGGATGGGGAGTGCCCCCCTTGCTAGTCTAATGGAGGTCTTACATACTTTTACCAGACTCACTCCCACAGCATACAATTTAAGATAACCAGATTAGTCAGAAGGTCCTTGTAAAAAAGGAGCATGTCCTTGAGCAAGATACATTGTTGTTATATAATCTCTAGTACAGAGCTTAAGGAAAAACAACCTGTGAGCCATTAACTCTGGGCTTAAAGAAAAAAACATTTTATGTGACTAAGATGAAAGAATGTAGAAAAAACCCATTTGTCCTTTTCTCTTCCTTGAGAACTCCAGACCCCTTTTTCCTCTCCAAGGGCTTTGTACCGCTTTCTCCTCTTTGAGGGCCCCAGACTCCTTATCAACCTACCTAAGAATTAACTCTCTCAGGTTCTAGTAAGGAATAGGCAAATGCCATAATTATTAACATTGTTGCTAATGGTAATAGTTTGATAGTGCTACTACTGCTTTCAGGAAGTGGAAGGTTATATTGTTTCCACTGAGTCCATGTGTCCAAGGAATCATCAGGTGGATTTCCATGTCTGTGGAGACTTAAGTCAGTTTTATTTCACCAACCACATTATACTAGACTGAGATTTTAGGAATAATGTGCAGTTGTTTTGATTGCCTACAAGAGCTCATCAGCATGCTATGGGAAACTATAGAAGAGTGAACTTTGTTGTAAAAAATATCTTCTGTTTTTATTCCATTTGGATAAGTATGAAATGTTTTGAATGTTTCCTTTATTAATTAGAGAACTGGTTCATGTCTCCTGAGTTCTACCTGCCAGATTATAAACAATTTATGTCAATGTCTACTGATCCCTTCAAAGTTGAATCAATAAGATTACCTGCAACAGTCATACAGTGTTATGACTCCAATAAATCTTCCCCAAAACCAAAACCATGCCTTCTGTGTCATGTGCTTTCTGGTGCATGCTTGAGAGTGGAGGAATTAAGATCTAGGAAACATTATTTTTGGATTCTACTATGCTTAGTCTTCAAAAAAGCAAAACAAAACAAGGCACTCGATTCTGCAGAATAAGCAAGTAATTTTAAGTTTACTTTCTTAAATAAGCCATTTCTCATTCTGTGTTGGAAGTTCATAGAAGTTCAGTAAAGTTGACATAAACACCCTAAGTTGTTGCTTGTTTCTGGATTTCGTTAAACATATTTTTAAAAACAAAATGTTTTGAAGGGAATAATTTACAGGGAATATTTTTAATAGGAGTAATGCTGAATTTTAGAAGTTTACTAGTTTTATCTTTCCTGGAGACTCTAGCGCTGTAACAACCCAAGCTACATATCACATTGAGAGGATAATAAAAAAGAAAAACACAATAAGAACTTTCATTTCTTGAAGTGGTATAATGGAAAGAACTTGAAATTTGTAAGAATGCTGTCTTTACCACTTTGGACAAGGTAATTAGCATTTTGGGGCCTTATGTACCTCAGCTATAAAACTGTGAAACTCTTTAACAGTTATAATAATTAAATGAGATAATATCATAAAATGCCCAGGATAGCATCTGGCAGGAACTGAATAATATTTGTCATCACTGGCATCATTATTGAAAATCTTACCAGTGGCTTGAGATTGCTTCTGTTTTACTCTAGTCTGTAACTAACAGTGTTTGACACACAATTCAAGGCCTAGAGTAGAGCTCTAATAAATTTAACAAGATTCTACTAATCCAGAGTAATTAAGGCAAAGTTTCTGGCTATTAATTCTTGGAATTTAGAATATTTTGTGAATACTGGGGCATGGTGTGGTGTAGAAGCTAGATTAACAAAATGTTGCCTGAACTTTAATGAATGAATAGCTTTGTTTTCTTGGTATATTGATTATTATAGGTAATATACTTTGTAAACTCTTTTGGAAAAGAGCTGTTTCCTTTAAAATCTCCTTGTCACTATTCGCCATTTGATATCTTCTTGTGGTGGTTTATTTGCTAAGTCCTGTCTGGCTCTTGCGACCCCATGAACTTTAACCCACCAGGCTGCTTTGTCCATGGGATTTCTCAGACAGGAATATTGGAGTGGGTTGCCATCTTCCTAAGGCTATGAAAAAAAAAAATTACCAACTGATCCCAATTAATGAATTACTATAATAAAACCTGAATTAATGAAATTTTAGTTATTTTTAATTATAGTTTGAAGTCATATTTTCAAAATGAGAGCTGTATTTTAATTACAGTAGTTCTCAGCAATGAACAGAAATTATTCTCTCTTTTCTCTGCCTTTTTCAGGATATGTTAAAATCTTGGGTATTTGCAACAAATGCCTACAGATATTTAAATGTATTTTTTCCATTCAGCTTATCTGTGTCTTTCATTATCACTTTCTCTGTATTTTATCTTTGAACGGTTGGTTATTTTTATATTCTTAAACAATAATCTTGTAATAATTGTAATATCTACAGACAGGGAAAAGCAAAATGGGATCTTTTTAAAAAGATTTTTGTGAACCTGAAAAATCTCAGCATTTTCTGTGTTAAGGAATTCTTTTAAATCAACTTTTTGTCCAAAAAACAGCATTTTTAAACTATAAGGACAACCATAGGAATTTTTCATGTGCCTCTTTTAGGAACAATTGAATCACTTAAGGAATTTGCCTCTAGCTACTGAGTAAGGACTGGAACTAAGAAAGAAAAAAGCTAAGATAAACCAACTGATCAGGCACTTGACTTTTAAAATAGACTTTCTGGTTACTTTTGAATGATTTAAAGAAAGAAAAATCTCCCACAAAGCTCTACTTTTTAATTCATTGTTAATTATTGTTTCTTCATTTTCTTTCAGAACTCTTCATGTTTCAGTGAGTTTTAATGAAGGAAAGTCTGTCATCTCGAGTTCACTAATAGTCACAGCCACAGAATGTGTAAGTCACAGTTTGCATAAAGTTGCCTTTTAAAGATAACTCTACCCAGAAATAATTTATGGTGTTTCAGTGTTGCTGCATACTACAATAAAGTACAAACAGTAACACTGAAGACCATTGCAAGAAAACACTTGCACTTGTAGATTGTTTTGCATTTTCCTTTAGTTTCATTTTAAAAGGGATTTTAAGAGAGTATACGTTGTGTTTTGATATTTATAAATTTGGAAAGTCATATCAGAATAAGGTAGGAGAATGATTTCCAAATGAAGCTATTTTTTAATTAAAACAATAACTATAAAGAAAGTAATGTCTTTCTCAATGAAGGTTGCATTGTAGAATCTAAGACATCATGTTTTTGAAATTATTAGTGCATCTTAATGAGTGAGCTTATTATTTTGTCCATTTTAATGTTGGTATTTTCTCATGAGTAAGGAATTTGATTTTGAAAGCTTGATAATATCTTGGCTTGAAACTATATTGAAGCTATAATTTAATTGAGGTGATAGTTTTGTATCATAGATCATAGTGGACCTAAAATGCAATATTTTGATATGTAAAGTCCATTGATAAGACAATGTTTTCCTTAATTTTTTATATTAGATTGTTGAACATGAAAAAACAAAGTATTAAAAGGAACTGATCATATAAGACTGTTAGTCTTATGATTGCATTTTCTTTGTAAAAAATAAATAAATCAGAGCAAAAAAAAAAAAAAAGAAATTCCTGCCCTTCAGAAGACCAAAATCCCAAACCTAAACATTGTCCCACATCTCATGATTTCATGAGATGGTTTTACATTTTGATCTTTTACTTTGAGAGACGTCCTTCCTCCAGGAAAAAAAAAAAAAAAAAGGCAACTCAATACTATCTGTATAGAGATAGTTTATTTCTTCTTGTAAGAAAACATTGCAGGGAAAACAGCATCCATATGGACTCTTGGGTCATTATTGAATTCCCTGGATAACACTTTTTCAACACTTGTTTTCATTTTTTTTTATTTTAAAAATAGCTAGGCCCTCCCCGCCTCAATCCCCGCCTTTTCATCTTCAATTCATGTTGCAATTTGTATATTTTGTGGATGTTGTAGTTTGTATATTTTCTGGTCCCTCAGGATGTGGTTGAGATTACAAACATTTGTGCTTTATGGTTTCTCAGTGTTCCCCCACTGAAATGGCTTTCTTTCTCCATCCATCCTATTCTGCACCTACAGCTGTTTTCTTTTTTTTTAACCTCTCTTCCACTCAAGTGTTATTATAGGATCTTTATCTGGATCCTATAACCATACACAGTTTACATGTACAGGGATGCTGAAGTTATATGACCCATTTGGAATTTATAGGTTGTATGCTTCCTAGAAAGAGGAAGTCTTTCTAAGTGTTGCCTGTTTTCAGGGGAGTCTAAGATCATGGCATCTGGTCCCATCACCTCATGGCAAATAGATGGGGAAACAGTGGAAACAGTGACAGACTTTATTTTTTTGGGCTCCAAAATCACTGCAGATGGTGACTGCAGCCATGAAATTAAAAGACGCTTGCTCCTTCGAAGAAAAGTTATGAATAACCTAGACAGCATATTAAAAAGCAGAGACATTACTTTGCCAACAAAGGTTCGTCTAGTCAAGGCTATGGTTTTTCTAGTAGTTATGTATGGATGTGAGAGTTGGACTATAAAGAAAGCTGAGTGCTGAAGAATTGATGCTTTTGAACTGTGGTGTTGGAGAAGACTCTTGAGAGTCCCTTGGACAGCAAAGAGATCCAACCAGTCCATCCTAAAGGAAATCAGTCCTGAACATTCATTGGAAGGACTGATGCTGAAGGTGAAACTCCAATACTTTGGCCACCTGATGCGAAGAACTGACTCATTGGAAAAGACCCTGATGCTGGGAAAGATTGAAGGCGGGAGGAGAAGGGGACGACAGAGGATGAGATGGTTGGATGGCATCACCGACTCAATGGACATGAATTTGAGTAAACTCTGGGAGTTGGTGGTGGACAGGGAGGCCTGGCATGCTGCAGTCCATGGGGTCGCAAAGAGTCAGACATAACTGAGTGACTGAACTGAGCTGAATATGACTTGAGGTGGTTTAAGAGTAAGGTGATTTCAGGAAAAAGGGACATTAGTTGTATCAGAGATGGAGAGAGAGTGTGGGGGCATGTAATATTAATATTGTAATATTAAACAAAGGATCTCAGTCATTTCCATGGAGAAGAGATTTGAGCAAAGACGTAAGGAAGGTGAGGGGGTAAGCCTTGAAGACCTTGTAAGGCAAGAGTGTTTATACGGAGGGAGCAGCTAAAACAGCCTAAGGTGGGACTGAACCTGGCTGGCTTAAAGAGGAACAAGGCAGCCGATGTGCAGGGAAAGGCAGCTAGGGTAGGAGGAGGCTTGAGATGAGGAGAGGAGAGAAGAAGGAGGGGAGAGATCATAGTGGGTTGTATAAGTCATTGTAAGGACTTGAGTTTTTCTTCTGAACGAAACAGGGAGCCATTAGAAGGTGACATGGCTGTTGTTGTTCAGTTGCCAAATCTTTCTGACTCTTTGTGACTCCATGGACTGCAACACGGCAGGCTGCCTCATCCCTTAGCATCTCCTGGAGTTTGTCCAAGTTTGTGTCCATTGAGTCAGTGATACCATTCAACCATCTCATCCTCTGTCGCCGTCTTCTCCTTTTGCCTTCCATCTTTCCCAGCATCAGGGTCTTCTCCAGTGAGTCGGCTGTTCTCATCAGGTGGCCAGAGTATTGGAGCTTCAGCTTCAATGTCATTCCTTCCAAAGAATATTCAGGATTGATTTCCTTTAGGATTTACTGGTTTGGTCTTGCTGTCCAAGGGACTCTCAAGAGTCTTCTCCAGCAGCACAGTTCAAAAACATCAATTCTTTGGCGCTCTGCCTTCTTTATGGTCCAAGTCTCACATCCATACATGCCTACTGGAAAGACCATAGCTTTGTTATATGGACCTTTGTTGTCAAAGTGATGTCTTTGCTTTTTAATACACATAGTTTGTCATAGCTTTCCTTCCAAGAAGTAATCGTCTTCTAATTTCATGGCTGCAGTCACCATCCACAGTAATGACATGGTATGACAGTGTTTTAAAAGGATTATTACCCACCAGAGTTCTTGGCCTCCTTCATCAACAGAAATTGATCAGAGGCCAGACAAGAAATTCAGGCAAGTTTTTTGGGGGGCCCCTGTTGCAGCAGGGGGGAACGAGAACAAACAAGTTCCTCTGCTTTTCTGCTTGCTGGGCAGGGAGTTTGTCCCTTTTGTGGGGTGAGGGTAGTGGTGTGTCCAGGGGTTGGGCCGATGGGGTGGTTTAGGTGGTTGCCCACCCTTAGGTGGTGGTGTGTGCAGGGGGCAAGGGCAGTACCCTGCTTTTGTTCCGACTCTTCAGAAGTGGCAGTTTGGTTTCTTTGGTCTCTTTGTCTCTTTTGTCCAAAATTTGCCCTGACTGTGCATGCACACAGTTGTGTTTAGTACCTTACAGCTTCTTTGTGTTTTGTTGTTGGAGCAGAGGTTTAGGCACAAGTACTGCAGCACTGTACCGCAGATGGTCTTGGGTTCCATGTCTGTCGCAGGATCATTCTGGTTGCTGTACAAAAGCAGACTTGGCAAGATAGGGGCCAAAGTGGAGACATAGAGACCAATTATGTGGCTAGTTCAGTCATCTAGAAGTGGGGTGGTGGTGGTGTGCTGTGTGTGGCTCCACTATCTGCTAGGGAGATAGCAGTGGAGATGGTGAGAAGTGGTTAGATTGAACACTATGGTGTTCAATGAAGTCTATGAAGTGACTAGACAGATTAGGTGTGGTTGTGAAAGGCAGTAAGTACAGTTCCAAGCTTTTTCACTTGAGTAGTTAGAAAGATAAGTTGTCATTGGTAGGGTTGTTTTTGGGAAAAAATGAGGGGATCTCTTTTGGAAATGTTGAGTGAAAGATGTCCATTCTTTTTCATCTCAGGGGAAGTATCAGAAAGGCTACCGAACACACAAGTCTGAAGTTCTAGAAAGAGGTCTGGATTGGAGGTGCATGTTTGGGAGCTGTTGTATGGAATGAAAGAGTTAACCAAATTCTACATGATTTTTAATGAAAAAAAAAAAGAAGCTTTAAGAGGTAGAGCATGAAAGGGGAAGAAAACTAGACAGAAGTTTTTATTTATGGAGAAATCTAGATAAGCTGGGTCTTGAAAGGAGAGCAGATCTTCAGCAAAGAGAGAGAAGTGGGGGAGCATTTTACAGATAAATAGTAAACAAATTGAAGCAGGTAAAGACAAATCAGGGGTATGGGACTAACAGATATAAATCATTATATATTGAATAGATAAGCAACAAGGATTTATTGTACAGCAGAGGGAACTAACTATACCTGTTATCTTATAAAGCCTTTAAAGAAATATTATCTGCAAAAATACTGAATCACTATTCTGTACAGCTGAAACTAACACAATATTGTAAAGCAAATATAACTTGCTTTAATTAATTAGTTAAAATTAATTAATTAAAGAAATTGAAAGTAGATACATTTGGTTGGAGTAAAAATAGTGGAAGGAAAGCTTGGAAATAGAACATTTAGATCAGATTATCAACAACCTGAGAAAAAAAAGAGCTTAGAGTTCATCCCACAAGTCTGTGGTTCCTCAGCTTTAGTACATAGAGATGTCACTATTAAAAATGAATGAAGGAAAGAAAATCTGTGTTCATGAGAGCTTGAGCTTAACTCTGTAGAGACAAAGGTTTAGAGAGTTTTTTCTTTTCAGTTTTATTAATATAATTGACATAGAGCACTGTATACATTTAAGATGTAAAGCATACCTATTTACTTACATAAGTTAAAAAGTTAGTTAAGTCGCTCAGTTGTGTCCGACTCTTTGCGACCCCGTGGACTGTAGCCCACCAGGCTCCTCCATCCATGGGATTCTCCAGGCAAGAATACTGGAGTGGGTTGCCATTTCCTTCTCCAATTTACTTACATAACCATGGGATGATTCTTTTTTTTTCTCATTAG